AAAATACCCAAAGCAAGTTTCGACCCTTGCCAATAATAAAAGAAGTATTTTCCAATACATCAAAGTTTGACTTTAAACTGAGGCTCTTGGAGGATAGTAAATCTTCATTATGCTCTTGATGCATCATTAAACGAGAAAAAATAGAGACGACCAGTCAGAAAACTACCTGACATCTTTACACCAGCTGTAGGGATACATTTGCATATGACCAGCGACTCTTTCAGATCACAAACCGTGATGGACAAGCAATAAGAATATTTCCCAAGAGATGACAAGCGCTGCAGACAACAGACTGTCACTGAGTTATTGTTGATAGGTTTAACTGACGCATCAAATCACGAAGATTACACTGCATGCACAGGGATGCATTTGTGTATGGACACAGAAAATAACCTGAGAGTAATTGAGATTATTTTTAGAAGCATGTGAATTTTTGTATATCTGATGTTCTCAAGCTAGATCACTCACTGGGCAGAAGGAGTAAATACCCATGAACTCTCCCCAAAACCACACGTGCACGAGTCACTTTTACGTCTTCCATGTAGGTTATCGGCACAGATCCAGAAAAATTGGCAGATGCAGGATTTATTTTTCAACAATGTGAGATAGCATTATTTTATTGTATTTTCACTTTCTTCCCAGGTACTGATTTATGGATCTTGATAAAAACAATTATTTATGGGACTGATACCTATGAGTGTGTAATGTGGTGCAGCTTGATTGAATTTAAGGGTAATGTTGAGCCTTGATGGACGTAGGCAACCTTTGGTTTGAGGTTTTGTAAAGCGATAAATTCTGTTAGTTGAATGGTTTTCAGACGGTAGTCTGGTGCTCAGCTTTTGGTAACATGATACTTATGCACCTGATATTCATCAAACACCACACATATACTTCACAAAGCAAATTATCAATATAAAAATCCAAATGTTTCAAAGCAGATAACTCTGGTGTGTGTATATGTAGTGCACTGTCCTGATGCTGAACTAGGCACAATGTGGCTGGGCTCTGTCTTTTTTTTTTTCTGTCAACATAAAAAAATTAGTCTGAGTGTATTTACCACTATTTTTCAGCCTTTACAATCCCTAAAGCCTCATACACATGATCCATACCTACCTCCAGGTAAGGTACAGGAGCGATGGATGGGAAGGGGTATTCCCTTAGCTGTCTCTCCTCGTCCAGAAATTTGCCAGCCTTGCCATTATAAGCCGGCTGGAATAGGCCATAGTTAAGGACATCCTTCAAGCTGTGGTTAAGAGTGCACAGGATTCGTTGCTTGGACAGCCAGATAGGAGCATCCACATTGAATTTCATACATTTCTGTGGACACAAGAGCAGAAGAGGGTGGAGGGTTAAGCACATGTAATTTCTCTAAATATCACACACTGTACTTCAGCCAAGTAAAACAAAGAGATTAAAGAGTGATCTTTTACAGATTCACATCAATATAGTTTAAGCTGCTCTTTCATCAGAAAGACATTTTTTGAACTTCCAATGTCATGCCCAGGGGAGAAGCTGGGTCTTTCATTATAATAAACGATTCATATTGGTCCAGTAGTATTGCACCATTTTCCATTACTTTTCACAAAAGGTCATCCCAAGAGCCAGTTGATGTTACCATACTGAAGTAAACAAAATGGGGATAAAAGCTATAGCTGTTGCAGAAACACTCTCTTGACACACATATTTCAGCCACATAAATTTGACTCTATATGTCTGTGTGCATTATTCATGCTCTAAAAGATTAAGCTGGACAATATGAGACGGATAAAGCACTACCTGCAGTAGCTCTGGGTCCAGTCAGAACAGGTCACATGTATACACGTAAATGGTCAACGTATTTGGTCAACTTCTACACTCTTATAATAATTACCTAGACTGTGACAACCCAGCATATTCCAGTAATGTCCCACCTTAGTTTTATGATAATCTGAATTATTTTAAAATAATTCATAAATCACATGTATGTCATACTGAATTCAACACACATAGTCTGTCCAGTGTTAAGTACTATGGGTAATGTGGGTAGGCAGAGCACTTCTTTCTAGTTACCACATTGTGGAGCTTGAGCCACAGATGGCAGAGAGTAAGAGAGTAAAGAGAGAGAGAGAGAGAGAGAATGAGTGAGTGAGTGAGAGGGAGTGTGCAAAACCCACAAGCAATAAATCAATCACTGTTGCCTGCAATATTGATTCGGAACCTCAACTCTATCCTGTTCAGCACCACTATGTTTCTGACACTCGGCTACAACCGTAGAGATCTCGAGTCTTCTAACAGCGCTACATGCATATGCTACGAGTCAGATGGCAACTGGTACATGATACATCCAATAAGGTGAAAACATACTAAAATAGGAGACAAGACATTTGAAAATTTAAAATATTCATACAAAGAGGAAAAACATGACTAAAGCCATTTATTTAGATTTGTCTCCAGGCTTAAACCTTTATCAAAAAAAAAACTTAGACACACTAACGCAGATACATCATTAGGATTTCTGTTAGAACAGTCAAATGTTTCATGACACATATGTGTTGTGTGATGTGTTGTGTTATCTGAGGCAACTGGATTTAAATGAGTAATCTAGTATTTTTCTAAACAAGTTTTGAGAGGATAAATTAAACTAGAATTCTTCATATAGTCTAGTTAGACAAAACATGGTCATAATCCTGAGTAATGCTATAGAACAATGGCCAGAAAGGTGTTTTTGTAGTGAAGTTGACCTTTAACCATTGTGTCTAAATTAGGTTATGAATGTGTGAGTTATGGTCATATAAATTTATCTTTTACCAAGGGATGTCGGGATTAAGCGGTTTTATGATAACCGCGGTTTGATAATGTCACGATTTCATAACCGTAAGAATTGTAAAAACTACGATCTAACTATGGTGTCATGCCTCTCGTGAGTCACGTAATTAGTCTGTTTGCCGCGAGGTGAAATCTCTCTCTCTTTGAGTGCGCGACCCACTGAAACGTTAGTTGAGAAGAGGGAACTGACTTAACAGCCTTATTTCCACCAACGCTGGACAAAGAACTTAATCGGAGGAGTTCACTCACACAGCAAGAGGAGAAATCCTTGTTTACTTTCGGTTTCTGACCAAGGGTTTTTGTGTCAGGAGCGGCTGAACTTACTCAGATGCTGCAGTTAAAAATTGAAAGCGTTGCCTCTGTGCAGCAGCAGAGCAGTCACATCTCAGAATATCAGAGACCTATCATGTGACAAATGGCGGGTTGACTGACTGGTTGACAGATTTGGTGAAAAACCAAATAAGCGAAACCAAAGCACATGTTTGGCAACATTACAGATCTAACCTGATGCCGAAAAGCATTCTGATAACACTGATTAGGCAATCCGCCAACTTTGGCTAATGACGATGGCAGCATCTGAAAACAGGCACTGCAGGTACACTCAAACACAGGTACACAGTGAGAGCAGGTGTTTTGTCGAGGTTTGCCTGCCTGCCAAGGACGATAAAAAAAGGTTATGGATTTCCTGGTGGCCCACTGGCTCACTGACTCTGTGGCATTTCTCCCAGTGTTGCCAATGGTCAGTCCAATCGTGACAGATGGGTCAATGAATTTGTGAGAGAGAGAAAGAGACAGAGCAAGCAAGTGAGAGGGAAAGTTTGCAGACCTTGCAGCCCAGGATGAATATAATTCATAGCCAGAGGAAGGTTCACTTTTGTTAATTTCCATTACCATGTAGATAAGGGGCCAATAGCCGTTGTTACCACTCTTAACAGACTCAAGAGGTTAATGTCAAGAGGGCTAGGTGAGGCTGGGTTCACATCTCTTCATGAAAACTGATATGTAATCAGGCTGCGTCAGGCCATCACTCCAGCCAATTTTCAACCTTCTGGTTGCACTGGAAGTTCTACAAAACTGTATATTTATGTATGGACAACTGCTTAAAGTTTACTTGATGACAATGATTATTTCCCATCTCAGTAGAGGGATCAGTCCACCAAAATAGCAAAGTTCAGCAAAAAAATACAGTGTTTTA